TCTTGGGCAGAGTGAGGTGCGCCTGCTGACGAATAACCCTGATAAGATTCGGGCGGTGGAGGGCCCGAATCGTGAGGTGAGGGTTACGGAGCGCGTTGCGATGGTGCCGCTTTCGTGGAAGGGCCGGGGCGGGTTCCGGAGCAATGAGGTTGAGGGGTACTTGAAGACAAAGGTATGTTTCTGTTGTGTCTAGTTGTCTTTGAATCGCTGGAACTAACGAAACCACAGATTGAAAAGATGGGACATATGCTTGACATGGGCGGCATGCCTCATTAAGGAGCAATCTACTTGACGCATCGGGTTGGAATCTCCCTGATATTTGGGCAGTGTTGACGAAAGGAGGTGACGAACATGGTTGAAAATCATCAAGCATATGGTAGAAAACGGCGTTTGGCTTTGTTTGATACGAATACCTGGGACATTGGCGTACTTGGCATACTTGTCCGCTGGGATCCCCAACGACTGGAAATGTTCATAGCATCGTTGGATAACTGGACTCATGGCAATTTACGGGAAAAGATCATTGAGGGGGGCGGCTAGTTTTATCTAGCATGTGAGATATGCATCTGCCAGATACCTAGTACTTAAGCTTCAGATATGTCTACTTTACCCAAGGAACATACTTTGGTGTTAATTAGTGCTTGAACAAGCTCGTCGAAATGACGGCTTGTCGCGTACTTGGTTTCGGGTAGTGGCCAGAATTCTCGAAGAGTGTTTGAATACAATTTCAGGATTATCGCTGAGATGCGAATGAAGATAAAGCGTAAGCCGGTTCACCTCGAAAAGACGGTCCGGGACTCCCCTATAATGAGCCGGCCACACCCCGCTGATGCACAGCAAGCGAGCGCACTGACCCGCCGACAGGAAGCTCCAGCCAACGTCACACCCAACTCACCATACCTTACGCGAACTCTCACCAATTCGCATCCCAGCTTCAGCCCAGATGCTCCTCCAACAGCTTCCACCACTAGCCCACCATGTCGCGCAGAGTAGCGAAAGGAGACTACATTGAGACCGTACGCCCTCTCTCTCCTCCAATCCATTCCCCCTCAACACAATCCACGGATTGAGACCACGGACTAACTCCCGCAAAAAACAACAGGACACAGGCAACAAGGTCGCCCGCAAAGCGACCCTCGTCGGCACCCAGAACATCATGCTAGGAGGCAAAACGGTGATCCAACCAGAGGTCATGATCCGCGGCGACCTTGCTCGCTCCGCACAACCCTCTGCCGGCGGCGCCCCGGCCAACAGCACGGCCGTCGCCATCGGGAGGTACTGCTTCCTCTCCAGGGGCGCGCTCCTCCGACCCCCGGGACGGATGTACAAAGGGTATGTAATCCCCAAACCCACCACCACAATAACCACAAACGCCATCAAACCCCTTGCTGACTTTTCTACTTTACGTTCCTAGAGCCTTCACATACATGCCACTCCGCATGGGCGACCACGTCTTCGTCGGTGCAAACGTCGTGATCCAGGCCGCTTCGATCGGGAACCACATCCATATCGGCCGCGACTGCGTCATTGGTGAGTTCGCCATCGTCAAGGACTACGTCCGCATACTCGAGGGCACCGTCGTGCCGCCCAACATGGTGATCCCGAGCTTCAGCGTCGTCGCGGGCCAGCCGGCGCGCGTGGTGGGGGAGGTGCCTGAGGGCGGGCACGAGGAGTTTGAGTTGAGGGAGCTGTATAAGACGGTGGGGAATAATCCGCAGCCATTGACTGCGTGAGGTTAGGCTGGTGTTCTACCATGAGGCTGGGAGGAGGTAGCTGTGCAGGTCACAGCGGGTTGATGGACAGCATAGCATTTGCTCGCGCGATAGAGATGGAGTTTGGCGTACGTAGGTTGAGCTTTGAGCTCAAAATGATACCCTTTCTTTTTTTGCAGTAAACACTCTTTCGTCTTCGTCCTCACTATCATGGGTGGCAACATTCCTTGACATTGCTCATTTGGGGAACTTTGCACTGGTCGATTAATAAACAGTCGAAGCTCTACATCACGGAAGCTTTTAGCAAGGTATGTTCGTATCGATGTTGCTGCAGCTATGAGTTACCACATAGACTGAGCAACCCCAAAAACATACATCTGACAGCAAAGCAAGATACACTCCAGCGCAGCACGCGTCTCCCTTGCCCCCAGGCAAACCACCTCAACGCCGCCGCCTACGCTCACCCAACTTCCAAGAGTGTCTTCAAGGCTCACCCGGCCATATCGAATCAGCCAACTCTCTCACAAGCTTCAACTTATTCACCATATCCTGATGCGAGACCGAATTCCCCAAATGATGACTCGCAAACCCACACTGCGGACTCACCCCAATCCTCTTCAACGCCTCCTCGCGCGTCTGGCCCGCACCCTGCGCAACATAATCCGCCGCCTGGAACACCCTCTCCCTCAACTTCCCAATGTCCTCGAGCTCGGGGAACTTTGACGTGATGACGCCCAGCACAACGTTCTTGTGCGCGGGAAGCTCCTTCAGCGGCCCGAACCCGCCCGCGCGGTCGGTGTCGTATTCGAGAAAGTAGGTGTCGGCGTTGATCTCGTTGAAGAGGCGCGAGGCGATGCGGTCGTAGCCGCCCTCGGAGAAGTGGCGCGAGTAGGCGAAGTTGCCGCGGCAGAGGTGGATGCCGAGGTGCATGTCTGCGGGACGGGAGGTGATGCAGTCGTTGTAGAGTTTGATGTAGGATTGGAGGAGGGCGTCTGAGTCTTCGCCTGCTTCTTTGAAGCCTTGAAGCATCTTTTCTGAGCAGAAGTCTGGACGATATGTTCTGTCAGTAAACTGTGTCTCGAAGAAGGATCCGGGGGGGGGGGGGGTCCGGGATACGGAAGAGGCAACGGAGGCTTGCACTTACACGCCAAGTTGGGATCGTCAATCGTCACGTTGCGAACGCTGTGCTCATAGAGGACCTCGAGCTCGGTGCGGTACGCCTTGGCGATGTCGGCAAAGTACTCCTCGTCGTTGGCGTAGACGTCCTTGGGGTAGGCGTGGCCCTTTTGGTAGCGGAGGTGATACCACTCGGGCGCGGGCAAGGTCAACTTGGCCTCCTTGACGCTCTCGGGAGGAATGTTGCTCTTGAGGAACTCCCACTCTCTCAGATAGGTGCTTCCCTTGTGCTTGATCTTGCCTGTGCAGACAATGGACTCGCCGGGCTTGTGGTCGCTCTCAACTGGGGGGGGTCATATAGCGTCAGTCTCTCCATCTCGAGTATCGAGTATTCCGTAGGCCAAGACTTACTGAACGCCGCAATGTCTGGCACGTACATGCGAAAGATATCCCAGCTCGGCGTGTCGACCTCCTCGAACCCCTCTAGCCCGGGGAAGAAGTTGCCCCAGAACTGGTGGCGGCGGTACTCGCCGTCGTTGATGGCGTGGAAGCCGAGGTCCAGCTGCGTCTTTACGATTTCGCGCACGCCCTCTTCCTCGAGGTGGTTGAGCTCTGTGTCATCTGCGATCTCCACAGCCTTTTTGTCGTCCAAGGCGACGCGTTTGTCCGTCAGGGCCTTGGGCCGGAGCAGCGAGCCCATGTGCTCGGCGCGGAAGGGCGGTTTCTGGTGATTCTTGGAGGTCATGATTTCTTTCTTTCTACGTAGAATAGATCCAGGGGCTGAATTGGATTGGAGCCAAGTGACAGAAGAACTTCCTGGTTCACGGCGTATATATAGACTTTGGTACTCGCGACGGAGCGTGGGGTTGCGAAACGGGATGGGGCCTTCGGCATTGCGAGATCCAACGGCCTAGCTAGGTAACTTTCCTAGGTTGGCCAGCCATTCAAGCCAGATCTCGCGAGCGTCCACTCTGTTGTAAGGCCACCCGAAGCCAACAGACTTGCGCTTTCTCGGACCTGGACCCCCGTCAGGACGATGTCATCCCGTGCCACCATCACCACTTCCCCCGAGCTGGGCGCCCACCCACCAAGATCCCCGCTTTCCCCGCCCTTTGTCATAGCTTAGTCGAGGGGGTCTGATCATCTGTTTTTCTACGGCAGATGAGTAGAGCGGCATCGGAATCGGTTATCAGTTGGTAGCCGCTTAAGTAAAGGCGAGGTTCTTGAGCTTGGTGCCTGATTCCTGCTAGGTTCTATCTGTGGGTGCTGTAGTCATTCTCGTGGTTAGTTTGCTTCTCCCAGATGCAGCCAAGGCTACGCGCCGCAGTAGCGCAGCGGTGGAGATGCTGGGTAATTGTCGTTCGAGGAAAAGAAAGTTGCATGTAGGTTGCATGCGATTCAAAATCATAAGTTCTCCGACATGAAGTGCATGTCTGGTATGTAAGTGTTGACTGGACTTTTGTAGTTCCAAGGGCATCCGTCGGCCGCCGTGTTTCCAGCATTTCACAATGCCAGCCAGATTGGTATTGGCCTTTTCCCAACAAGCTACTCAAGGCACGATCCGCTGGTTATTCTGCAGCAACTACATAAATTTACGGCTGCCATGTAGAATTGACGCCTTTCAAGAATTCCAGACGCCAGAATCAGAGGTGCTAAGAGATGTTTAAGGAGGGGTGAAGCCCAGGAGCTTCGAATCTCGGAGCTTTTATCGTTATCTTATCGCGGAGCTCTGGTGGAGCACTGTGGCGAAAGCCGCCCGTCCCCGTGGCGGGGCAAACAGACCAGGACCCCGCGGTGACATGTCACCTCCATCCAGGTCAGGTAGGTAACCTCGGAGCTGCATCTCATCAAATGGCAGAATTTCCATGATAGCAACGTCAATGCCTTTCTCCTTCAAATCTTTCATCGATAGTGTTTGTTTGATTGAATACTCAACCTAAGTTGAGATCCTTCCATCAGCGAATCATCAACCTGTCTCTCCCGGGGCAGCTTCATTACTTCATCTGAACTTGAAACTTGCCTCGGTCGGGATAATTCCGTGAAACACCGCCCTTCCTTCAACCCATATTATGTGACTGTATTCGACGACATAGTCACTTCGCATCAATTTATCGAGACGACTTTTGCATCTCAGATAAGATTCTGACAGCCTCTGCTGTAGTGCAAGCAAAGATGGCCACCTCCGTCAATGATCTCCCAAACGAGATTCTAAGCCAGATATTCTCCCACTTGGACCGACCTGCCCCGTCAGACTCGAAGCTCCACGACCAACCGAGCTCTTTCATGCTGCAGAATCTCTTCTTTGACCGCGATCTCAAGACTACTTCTCTCGTTTGCAAGCGATGGCGAGGTGCCGTGCTCCCTCTGCTGTTCCGCCATGTGGTCTGGACTTTTGACCGATTCGAGCTGCCGCTCATGGAAGAGACGGGGAACCCTGCGTCCGCGATCGATTTTCTGTCCTTCCTCAGGGCGAACAAGTTGACCAACTATGTTAATACGCTTTCGATGTTTGTCGAGGATGCTATGGGCGGCGTATCGGACGGCACCAGCAGTGCCACTCTTATGGAAACAGGCTTTGCGAACAAGGCCTCCTACAGCGAGGACTACAACTGGCTCTGGGCGACAATCTTTGAATATATCGATCCTATCCGGCTCACCATGGTTGCATCGCCACGAGTGCTAGCCCGAATGTTATCGCGCATGCTCTTCCTCGGGGATGCGTGGAACTTTTCCATGCCACAGCACGTTCTGTCGCTCTCGCGGAAAGACAAAAGGACAAAGGAGACGCAAGCCGAGGCACCAGTGACAGCACCATCAAGTCAGGCATCTGGTTCGGACCCAGCACATCAGAAGCGTGTTCCCTGTGACTTATTCACCCTCCGCCCGTGGCAGGCTCTATTACTCAATGAAGGATCCTCGACGCGAGTCTACAAGACATACGAATTCTACCTCAAACGTCCGCCTTCCATCCTCGGCGCTCTTCTGGGCGCAGAAGAGTTCCCAAACGACGAGCCCATGATCTCGCCCTCGATCCGCGACCTCTCCTACGTCGGCATCTTCTCCCTATCGAGCCATTTCAACACCCTCGTTCAAAACATCCCGCGCCTCGACCGCCTCTTCGTCCAGCTCGTCCCCCGAAACGACATTCTCTCCGACCCCGACGAGATGCGCAACGTCGACCTCGCCGACCTCTGGATGGAGCGTAACACGGCCTACTCGATGCTATTCCGCGAGCTCTTCAACCCAAGCCCGGACAGCCCCTGGCTCGAGCTAAGCGTGTTCGAGAGTGGCGACGCGGCGGATAAGGAGGCGTGGGATATGGCGGTGCAGTTTGTGCAGTTTAGCGGCGTGCAGGGGTGGCGGGTCGCGGGCGAGGGCGTCTTTGCGAGGGAAGGTGACGAGGACGCCGTCGGTGCGATCCTCGGCATGTCTCAGTCAGTGGCGCCAGCGTGATCGTCTTGATCACAAACATTGTCTGGGTGATGTTTACTAATGCGTCAGGTGTGAAAAAGGCTTCCGGGTAGACTCAGACGGATGGCGTTCAACGGAGTTGCTTCGTTGCCGGTGTCTAGCGTTACGCTTTACATGAGAGATGCAAATGCGCCGTAGACGGGGGTTTGTAGGACATATGAAGGGAGATGACAGGACTTGGACCAGCCAGATAGAGGTTAGTATATGGGAAGATATATTGATATTGTGAACCACGGTGTAATTGCAATCTTCACATTCGAAATGGTTGACTACTATCCAAAAATTCTAGGCTGACATTGGCTCCTTGAATGACCATGCTGCCAGGGTTATCCTCTTTTGTATCTTTTAGAGAAGATGTACAATGCGAGACCCTCAACCACCCTCTAAGTAAATACCTCGCTGAGCTCTGAGTATGTAGTGTAGATTCGATCCAAGGCCTCGTATCATCACCCAACGACGCCAGAGCAAAAGTTTGAAGTCTCGTAACATCGCAACAAAATCGATAGCCAATGAGACTCGTACTCGAATATCAAGCAAGCGGTGCGGTCCGCGGGGAATACCGGACCATTCCCATCATCAAACGTTTCCCCACAAGTCACCATACGGCATACACGTGGAGGGTTTCAGACGTAAAGTCAAAGTCCGAGCAGCGAGCTTCCATCTTTGAGCTGAGGTTGGGTTTCGAGGTGGGGCTAAGGTGAGGCTTAAACCAACGACTGAGAGCTCACACCTTGGTAAGCAGGTAAGGTAAGGTAAGCTCTCGGTGAGCTCGGTGTACTCCACATCATGTGATTTTGCCACTCGAACGGCCCAAGCTCGTCTGACGAAAAGCGGGCGCAAGGGGATCGCTCAACCAATCAAAGCCCACAATACCTGCAGACAAAGCCAATTGGCGCCTTCTCTCAGTGGCTGGAAGGATCCGGTGTGGACGGTGCGGCATAGTCGGGGAAGGAGGCACTGGACCCAGACCAAAAAGAAAGTCGCACCGGACGGGAAGCTTCTTCCCCAAAATCATCGACCTATCGAACGATATACGCACGAGCACTACATCATTACATCCGCCCTCTCCTTCCCCCTCCCCTCCTCATCTCCTCATCTTCGTCCTTCTCGTCACCATCTAAACCCCCCTCTTCCGCTGCGGCCCCCTCCCTTTCTTCATTTCTCGCATTCTTTCGTCTGTTCCATACCATTTACCACTGCGGCGAAGACTAGGTGCAGATCAAATCCCGACCCTGACAAAAACCGACGACTTAGTGGCCGAGCTTCCGGACGCAGCTTCAATCTCTTCTTTACCTCATCTCTCGAAACAACAATCAATACGTGCATTGGATTGCCATCTCGAGGCTCTCAATGTCAACACCTCTTTCATTCCGACGAACGTGAGCGCCTTCTCGCATCGACACCCGAGCCACGACGATTGCTTCCCTTTAACACAATCACCGAGCCGAACACACTGCTAGACAACATGGTCCTCTCTCACACTACGAACCACACCTACTCCCACCCCTTCCCGACCGTGACACTCGCCTACTTTCTCCGCTACTCTTCGCCCAAACTCAACCCATTCTCCACCCATGTCCTCAGCACCGACACCATCGATAGTCGCCTCGACCCGGCGACGGGCAGGTTGCACACCACCCGCATCCACCTGAAGAAGTCTCGCATGCCTGCGCCAGTCTTCAAGCTTCTTCCTACATCCATCACCGGAGGCGGCTCCAGCGAGAAAGTGAGCTATGTTCTTGAGAACTCTGTCATTGACATGCGCGAGGGTTGGATGCGCACCGAGAGCAAGAACCTCAGCTTCATGAATGTGCTCTCCGTCGTCGAGAAGCAGGATTTCCGCCTTCCAGCTGAAGCAGCTGACGCGACTACCGATGTCACAACCACATTCGTGTACAAGTCGCGTCTCGGCGAGAGGCTGCGCGGCGGCAAGAAGGACCAGATGCAATCTGCCGTCGAGCAACCGGAGCAAAAGGAGGGTCGCTGGATGCCCGGCTGGATGAGCGGACTCGGCGCGCGCGGCGTGCAACGCAGCATCGAGAGCATCGCCTCGAGCAAGACACAGGACCAGATGGGCAAGAGCCGTGAGGGCATGCGCGTCGTTCTGGAGCGACTCCGGAAGAACGGCGTCGTGGGCGTGCTGGAGATGATGAGACGGGAACGCCAGTTGGCTTGATGGCGATGCCCGGTTCGACGAATGCGCATCTCGGAACGTGACCTGGGCTGGAGGGGAGAGAACGCCCATGTATACCATTCACCAAGCGTCATTGACGACATTGCCCGGTCCGTGGGTCACGTTCAGAGGTTGCTGTACCCCTATCACATCACTTGTTGTACATTATTCTATGACCATAGCGCGGCGTCTTTATGGCTTTTTTTTTATGGCGGTTCGGAGGACACGGCAAAAATGGAATGGACTGCGACGGATACGGAAAACTCTTGGACTCCTCTGTCATGCCGTCTCTGTATGACATCCCCTCTCTTGTATTTGGCACTGATGTAGTCAAACATAACATGTAAAAACTTTTGAATCTTTACAATCTGGCTCCTCTTGATCTGTGCAGTTAGTCATTGGTGTGATGACTGGTATAGCAAGCATCTGCTTGATAGTACGTAAGCTGTGAAATTGTCGGCGCATTCTCGTCTGGTAATGGCTGCTTCCATCAGTGCCAGCGAACACAATAAGGTATTTAAGCTTGCGGCCCCGGATCTTGGCGATCTGCAAGACATGAGGTTGAGATGGATGTCAAACACGAACAGGAATAAGGTCAACCGCGACCAACGCGATTCTTTCTTTCCGTTTGGAATAGTCCATGACCCGATATTGAGGTGGACAATTTTTACGATGAGTATTGAAATGCTGTTTGGTGGTGACTGAGGCGGGCGCGAGCTGTTGTGTATCAGGGGATACGACAAACCATCATGGGCAGTCAAAGTGCGACTGCTTTTCAACAAGCATCGTCCGTTGTAGTCGATGGCCGAGCGGTATGATTCTGGCTTTCGTTGGCAGAGCAGAGTTGTATGTTGGCTCAAGGTCCTACATAATGCCATGGATAGCTTGTTTTTTTTTTTTTTTTTTTTTTTGGGTTCGTTTATCTGCGTATTCTGTCTCATATTTACTTTGATGGGCCTTAAGGAAACCCTTCTCTATAGGTATCGCAGGCTATTCAGAACCAGCTAGTCAGTCATTTGACCAATATCGACCTTAATTTGATCATGTCTTCTTTACTCTACAAGTTGACAGTATAGTACACTTCCATACAAAGAGTCGTGTCCGCGTCACTTTTGCGCCTTCTTCGCTTCAGCGTTGGCAGCCTCCTCATCAGCCATCATGGCCTCAATATCCCCAGATACAAGCCAATCCCTGACCTCGTCCACAATCTTATCCAGCGACTCGCCCCCGGCAATCACATCGGGCAGGTTATGCACGTCGATCCCCGCCCGGTGATCCGTCACGCGGTCCTGGTTGTAGTTGTACGTCCTGATCTTGTCCCCGCGCGTAATCTTGTGTTTGGACAGCACAGAGTTCCTCAGCTGCGCAGCGGCCTCCTCGCGCGCCTCGCGCCGCTGCAGCGCCACCCGCGACCGGATCAGCTTCCACGCGTCGTCCCGGTTCCGCGACTGCGACCGCGAGTCCTGCATGCTCACGACGGTGCCCGTGGGGATATGCGTCATGCGGATCGCAGACTCGGTCTTGTTGACGTGCTGACCGCCCGCGCCGCGCGCCCGCATCGTCTCGATCTTGACCTCGGACGGGTCGATATAAAAATCGCTCTCCGGGTTGTTGATGTCCTCCATGTCACCGCCGTTATCACCCTGGAACGAAGGGAGAACCCAGACCGCCACGGCGCTCGTGTGCACGCGGCCTTTGCTCTCCGTCGCCGGAATCCGCTGTACGCGGTGCATGCCCGCCTCGCCGCGGAAGAGGTCGTACGCGCCCGGGTCCTGGACCTCGATGACGGCTTCCTGGAGGGGGCTCTCGCCCGCCGCGGAGGAGGAGTCGCCCGCCGCGTCGGCCATGTCGTATTTGATGACGTTCGCGCGCAGGCCCTTTCGCGCGCAGTAGCCCTTGTACATCTTGAACAGCGTGTCGGCGAAGAAGCGGCCCTCGAGACCGCCGGGACCGGGGCGGAGCTCGAGGAGGCAGGGCATGTGCGCGTAGGGGTCCTTGGGGGTGAGCGAGGCGGAGAGCTTGCGCGAGAGGGAGCTGAGCTGGCCGTTTGTGGCGTGGAGTTCCTCGGCGGCCATTTCGCGGAGCTCTTTATCCTTGGAAAAGAGGAGGCCGTCGAGCTCGGCGATGGAGGATTGTGCCTTTTCCCATTCTCGGAGGGCGGTGACGACGCTCGATAGCTCGCCTACGCGGCGAGCCGTTTTGGAGTCGTAGTCTGCTTCGAGGGCCGCGGCGAGGGCGTCGTGTTCTTTTGCGATATTGCGGGCTCGTTGGAGGAGGGCTGGTGGGAGGGTTGCTGTTGTGTCTGGGTTTGACGAAACATATTAGCTGGGACATCGCAAAGGGTCTAAGATGAAGGGAGCTTTACCAGAGCTAGCATGGCGGATGAATTGGGTCGCTCTAGGCTTCAGAAGCCCTCCCAGACAGCGACGGCACACCCATGGTGCTGCGAGCATACTCGGGCAGCGATGTGGACCGGCGAGAGAGAAATTGGGAGGAAGTAGGTGACTTTTTGGAGGTGGTCAAAAAATGTTTGGGATGTCCCAGAGCTTCGGTACAGAGTTCCGCGCCAGTGACATCAATGCTCTTGCAGCCCAGAAAAAAAAAAGTGCATTATGTAATACTTTGCATTCCATCTCATCAACAGCTCAATATGAATATTTGTTCTCTCCCGAATTTCGTCGGCTTTATTTTCTATTATTCGTCTTGATTTTGATTTGATCCCATCTCACACTGAGACTCATAGGAGCTTTATTCACAGACTTCAGTTTTATCTCACACAGTTCACCGCCAGATCACCACTACACATGGTCATTCAGTTGATGTCATTAAATTGTATTATTCACACCGTCCTTTGACGTTTAGCACCCGGACTTGTGTCGTCCACAGATGCAAGCCACTCACGCACACGGCCCTTCTCCTCTCCGCCCGAGGGCACAACATAGTGACCCAAAGGTTTCTGGACCATACCGGGGCCTGTCAAGACTCCCTCCCTCTCCAGATATGCTCGCTTGGCTGCCAGCGGGTAGACGAGGTACATCTCTGCCATATTCGGCTTCATCAAACTTCTGCAAGCGATCTCCAGCCCATTAGGCACAAGCCTGTCTTCGAAATTGAACCATACGTCGGCTGCAGCCTTCTTCATGATGAATTCTCGGGGAGGTATCAAGAGCCCTTGCCTTTGCAGGTACGCCCGTTTGTACGGCAGCGAGAATCCCATGTACGCCTCGTCCATTCTTGTCTCTCTGAATTGCCTTGCGATGGTTTTCAGTCCATAGGGCACAAGTTCAGGCCCAAAATTGTCCCTCACGTCGGTTATGGCCTGCTGAATAGGGTCGCGCATTTCCTTTTCTATGCTCTTCATAATGCCCGTGCACTGATCGAGGATGCGGGTGACCCGGTCACAGGTTTCCTCCATCAACTCTTGCCGGTGCTTCGACTTGGACCGCCGCGGTGTAAGCCGGACCGGATGGATAGCCACGGCGTCCAGCGCCGGACCCACAGAGGCTATCGTCTTCGCCCTTTTTGTCGCGTGCTCATTATCGGCGGCGGTAGCAGCTGTCATCGCCTGAGTTCGCTTGGCTCCAACGATTGACTTTTGCAATTCGGCTTGGCTGTGGTGGAAATTTCTGACTCTTTGCTCAATCACCATGCATGCGGAAGGCGATGGTAGTGCCGGCCAGTCGCTCAGAAGCGGTACGCGACGATTGCCGTTCTTGTCGTATTTAGTGTCTTCTTCTTCCTCTTCTTCTGTTGCATCGTCGGAGGACTGTGAGCTGGCATCCTCTTCAGTGAAATATTCGTCGGACGATACATCCATCATCTGTCCTTTTAGTATGCCAGTCACTTTGATTGCCGCGGCAGCAGCGGCGACCGCAATCGCCGTATAAACGACTGGTGTCTCCTCGCCGGAGTCTGAAATATCTGAAAACATTGCTGTGGTATTTTGGCATCACATTCTACTCCTTAAAAGTAGGAAGATCGTGGCCGTTTAAGTGCAAATCTAGCTTCCCATGACAGAACTCTGCATGAGTGAGAGACGAGTCGCATGAACCTCGCAAAACGTTCACCGCGTTATGAAGCTACCCAATCACAACTACTGTGTCTTATTATGTAATACGTCATCCAATCTATTGATCTGCTCGATGGTTCCCGTTCCGCAAGATTGAGTTTACAGAGTTCACATATATCCTTGCGACCGCACCACTATTCCAACGGCTTTCGATGGGGGCTGAATAGGTTTCAACTTAACATTCCCCGAGTTCGTCGGGTTTCTTCAACACCAACAGCTCTGGCTCATGACTCTGTGTTCATCACGCGCCATTAATACTTTTGTCTCCCTCTTCCCAAAAGGGTTCTCGTATCCATGCCTCCAAGCCGTGTTTATGCCTCTACTTTGCCCTCCCAATGTCTACGATCGAGGTCTCTCCAAGACTTCTAGAAGGCACACCTACGCTTCCCGGGCATGCGACTCTGAGAGAGATCGTAAAGCCCCCTGCTCCATGCCCGAGTCATTCCAACAGGGGCAGCATATTCGTGATGTACGGACTTACGTTCATGATCAGATGGTATTACACATCCATGCTGAGGAATTGATATACCTACGCAACTTGGCTGAGCCACATCCTGTTTCCGAGTCAAGCAAGCTCAGGGCATGGTCTTAACCTACCGACAACCTTCCGGATATCCGCCTCGTATGGCTTGAAAGGTCTTTTCGTTTGCCAAAACATCTTTGTTTACTAAACCAAGTTTCAGTTCCGGATACCGGGCTCCTTTGTCGTCAGACTGATCGAGCTGCAACTACTGTATCTGGACTATCGATGGGCCCCTAAGCCTCAGTATCACCTAATTCCCGAAGGCCTTTCTCTACTCGTTTCCCGAACGTGGCTGGCGAAACAATAAGCTACCTGGTAGCTTGAATAGCGGGCCCATGCTCACTTAGATACCGGTCACGGCATGCATGATCCGACCTTGGTGAGGATATGTGTTTCCTCGAATCAAAGCTGTCGGCTCATCAGTCGATTGATGTCGTCTACAGTCTCACTTCTGTCTTGAGCTCTTGAGTTCGTTCAAAATATATCACATCCCAGTTCAGTATAAGCGTATTCCTCCTCCATCGGGGTCATGTGTGTAACAGTGTTGATGATGCCGAGACCAACATCTCCTTCTTGTAACTGTTACTGAGATCTGGGATTATGTTTATAGAAATAGCTTTGTCTTTGTTTCTCGACAGATTCTCAAGACAACTTTGCTCCCGGAGCTCATATAACTCATCAAACTCGACTGTTTGAACTATCATTGAATAAGCAGTGTCTCCCTAATATGCTTAACAAAGTGACGAGAGGAATGATTATATTATGAGAATACTTAGATAACCAGTCATTACTTTAGATATGTTACAATATCAGGCATTTTGTGTTCGCGTGTGCGGGGTTTTTTGAAGACCACATCACCTGGCAGTCGGGCATTTTTAGCGGCTGAATCCTTCCCGAAGACTATATTTTAGTGGTGAGAAACAAACCAGTTCGTGAACCACTCAGATACTTGAATAGCACCAGAACTCCCGTATATGCGGAACTCCCTGTGAGGATTATTCGGCCCATGCTCTTCTCAGTAAGCGTCAGGCAGAAGCGACGCTAAAAGTGGCTTGACCAGAGTCAGGTGGATATTGAGCTGCTCGTATTCAATTCAGGGCTGAAAGTTCACCCTCCAATGACGCAACCCTAGCGAGTGAAGATCATCCCTTCAACTATGATTTAAGAGCCTAGCTAAGTCCTCCCTAAGTAAGTCCCAGAAGCAGTCAATACACCCCATTCAGCCTTACAGTTCCGCATTCGTTCCTCACGAGCACTCAACGGTTTCTAGTTCCGAAGCTACACTTTCGCTAAACATCAAAATGAAGTGCTCTACCATTATCGCCGCCTCCTCCTTGGCCTTCGTGTCAGCAGGGAACTGCAGTCTCCCCCAAATCAACCTGGGCCACTTCTCCTTCCCTCATACCAACATGTTCGTTGCTTGGTCGCCCTACACGCCGACCACGATCCAAGAGCTCGACGACGTCTGCGTCAAGGCGGGCGCCATCAAGGGCACCGCTACGTGGACCGCCGTCCGTACCGCGAGCACTTACACCTCGGGACCCATCTGCGGCAACCCCTTCAACATCACGAGCGACGAGACGGGTGTCACGTATCGCAATCTTGAATTGGCTTGCAGCGATGACAACAGTGAAGGACAAGCGACACAGGTCACTGCTGTTGTGGACGCGACGTCGCAGACTACCGTCCAGACCTGCACACCTGTGCTGGTGGATGGTCAGCCGTTCCGCTTGGGGGATGGTTGCTCCAACTATCGCGGCAGCTCGCTGTCTTTCGACTTTGCTTGTTCTTCATAAAGCTGAAAACAATGGCTTTTGAGTCAGCTGCTGGGTTTCAGGTATGACAATGTGCATCGTTGGGACAATCATAGACGGTTAGAAAAGCTTGGGGTCAACATACTAGATACAAGTTTCCAAATTCTCATATCGACCTAGTTCTCTAGCCAAATAAGAGACTAACGAAGCCTGCAGCAGAGGCAAATAAATAAAAGTCTAATGTTCTGAGAATAGTCAGTATGTGGTCCGTAATAGACAAAAAAAATTCAACTTGGAGTTCACCTCGTTGTCAATGGTCCATTTCTTATTCGTCTAAGGTAGGCGGCACCTATTCAAGTCTTCGGGAGGTATCTGGCCTATGTCAGCCAACGTTTGTCACTTCATTGGAGTTGGTATAGCTAATAAACATCTAATCAGCCTCTCATGGAGACGTAGTAAAGTCTAAACCACTTATCTATACCAATTCCTATGCGTTCTCGACATACCCTTAGTAATTGAAGACAGCCATTAATCATCGTTGGACAACCATGTGGAGTCCCTTGCAGGCCTGCCCTGTTACGTTAGTACAGCGCCAAGTGGCAGAGCTTATACGCCTTAGGGCGGCTCTCCGCGTTTAGTTATCAAGTTAGAGCTTATTGGCACCAAAAACCCCCCATTTCGCAACGCCCTTCCACTGACATCCGTCCCACACACTGGCTCAGCCTCCACATTTTGCCGGTCTTAACCTGCCTCTTCGGCTTGACCAGTGGTGATACCAACTCAATCCGTCATAACTTGGCGGACCTTGCAGCTCGATTAACGAAGCATTGGATCAAGTGAGCTTAAATCTGTGAGCGATAGGACTAGTGTCCATCATCTGCCCCTGCTTGGCAACCCCCACCTTCACGAGCTTCGATCGAAAGGCGTGACAAGATATCTAGAAACAAGCATTGTCGGATGAGTCCAATCAGATCGTTAATCTCAACTTATATAAACCACATCTAGGCTTCAACCATACTCATCCGCCTCCGATTCGTTACCACCCTTCATCAAACAATATCCTAACTTACTCCAGCTTTCCGCAAGATCCTCCCCAGCTCTCCCCCCCCCCCCCTCGATACTCACAATGGGCTACGTCCTCTACATCGCCAACAAGCGCTACTCTAGCTGGTCTATGAGACCCTGGGTCCTCCTCAAAGCCCTCAACATCCCCTTCGAAGAGCGCCTCCAGACTTTCGTCGCCGGTCTCCGCCAACCCGCGTTCCTCAGCTTCTCTCCCTCAGGCAAGGTCCCCACCCTCCAGGATGGCGACACCACCGTATGGGACTCCCTCGCCATTGTAGAATACATCGCCGAAGACCACCCGGCCGCCTGGCCGCAAGACAAAGTCGCCCGCGCCTTTGCCCGCAGCGCCGCCGCCGAGATGCACACCGGCTTCGAGGCTATCCGCGACCAGTGCTCCATGAACGTGGCGCTGCGCATCGACCTCGGCGGGCCGCCTAACGCGGCGCTGCAGCGCGACCTCGATCGGCTCGAGGAGCTCTGGGTCGAGGGCCTGACGCGTTTTGGGGGGCCGTACCTCGCGGGCGGGGAGTTTAGCGCCGCGGACGCCTTCTTTGCGCCCGTAGCGACGAGGATTCAGACTTTTGGGTTGAAGGTTTCGGAGCCTGCAATGAAGTATGTGCAGACGTTGTTAGAGCATCCTGCTGTTGACCAGTGGGTTGTGGAGGGTATTGCTGAGACGGCGAGGGAGCCGTACCATGAGAAGGATGTGTTGAGAGGCCGGAAGGTTTTGAAGGACTTGACCCAGACTCAATGATGAAGTACATGTTGGAGTTGGCAATAATAATTAGAGGTACTTGTTACATGGCGCACGGCGATTGTCAGGTCACATCATACTTCGGATACCCCCTGAATGAAGACTTGCTTAGAAACACAGGTTTCGCTTGAAGTTGCTTCTGCATTTGACTAATTGTGAACGGGTTTGTGGCGGCGAGAAGCGTCATGATGCTTGCTGACTTGGCTCTCTGAGTGAACTACGCTGAATCCTTCACGGACCAGGCGACCAGGCGACCAGGCGACCAGGCGCACCTATGCCTTCCATCGTCAAGAATGCTTGACGCTTGAGTACTATCATGTAGTTGGAGGAATCCTGAATCGATTGCAGACTACCTAAAAAGTTCGAGACTAGCCTCCAAACCAGCGTCTTGAGGTTGTGTAGCTAGACTATAAGCCTATGAAGATGAATATATACAAAGAAGTTGTAGGTCTTTAGACCTGTTGTCCGCTATCTTAAACTTCGTACTCTTAGGTACGTTGAAGTTTTCATGATACCAAGGCCTAGTTGGGGTTGCAGTAGAAGCAGCCCATGTTGTTGTCAATACCGCTGGCCAAGTTGCCGCCGGGGTATCTGAAGATTTGGTGAGAGCCCTTGGTGGCATCACAACCGCTGCCAGCTCTACAGAGTCGTCAGCTTCTGACATCAAAGACAAAGCAAATGAGAAGGACTAAGAAAGGGTTTACGTACTGGTAGAAATCGCACCAACCGCCGCTATCAGGGCCTACAGAGCTGATACGGGAGACCCAGTAGGAGTCAGGGTAGATGCCGACGCTGATGGGGTAGCAGCCATAGTAGCAGGAGCCACTGAAGTTCTGCCCGTCACACATGTAGACGCCCTCGCAGATGCGCTTGTTGAGACTGCGGGCGGCGTTGGAACCGTCGGACTTGAGCTTGGCGACCTCGGTCTTCAGCTCCTCGTACGGGAGGGGACCGGCGAGGACGTAAGAGCTGGCGTCCTCAGGGACGGGGCTAGGGGCGGCGGCCACGAGGGTGGCCGAGACGAGGGCGAGGAGAGAAGAAACGCGCATGTTGGCGGTTGTGACGTCTATTTGAGGATGGTAAAGAGGTGGGATTTGTTGAGATGGCTTGTCTTGCGTGAGGAGTGGTGAGAAGAGTTCGAGGTGACGGGAAGGTAGTAGGCTTTATATACCCGGAATCAGAGATGACTTCCTGGGAAGAGCCACGCGAAATACCATCAGCTTGGCAAAGGACGGTATTCAGCTGTTCATTGCATGGGTCCCTCGGCTCCTCTCTAGCTGTCACTCATGATAAAGACCAAGCTTCAGCTCGGGGTGGATATCACAACAGGAAACTGGGTGAGCTTACAAGGTGTCGACCATCAACTCAACTCCGAAGCACCCACGAAGGATTGTGCGAAGCCACAATGTTTGATGGAGACTATGTTAACGGGCGGCGGGGATTCTCAGAGAACCTAGTCTAGCTTGAGGGCATCGCAACATCGCGCGTGCCCTGTTGTGCTTCTATTCGGAAAAGTCGGAAGAGCTCTTACATGATTGGAGCTGGCAATAACACAAATGCGATGGAAGAAACTAGACTTCACAGGGGTCCGCCGCATTCAACGCCTCATAGGGATGAAGCTTACCAGGATGCCTACGGAAGATGCCTAGACTTCATGGGCTCTTCCTGATGAGGAGTTCCAGAGCATGGGCTTATAGGCTCTGAACTCGAGCGGGGACGTTATTGATAGGCTCGAACGCCGAATCTCAAGGATAGGGCCGGGAAACGGCTAGCCGTGAATGGCCCACGATCCACATGTACGAAAAGTTGAAGACTCTCGTATGGAAAGGACAGAAATAGATCCATGATCTAGTAAGGTTGGGCTTGACGTAGAGACGGCATGGGAGCATTGTAGGCTAGGGGTAGAAGAGAAGGTACAGATGAAGGACAGATGAACTAGAGTCTAGGCAGCGAGAATTCAATCAGCCTAAGCAGCGGCTATACCGTTACATTCAACGAACCTGGCTAGAACTACGTAGCGTAAGGGGGGTCAGCGGGAACTTGTGCCGTTGACGGCAGTCCTTAGGCGTTCAGAAGTCTGCACTTGCAGTCGCTATTCTAATATCCATGGGTACAACACTGTGGGCGAGCGAATAGTGTCACTACCCACCGAAGGTGGCAGAGGCGGGTTAGCGGGAGCTGCCTATCCGCAGTAACCATGTCGAAACATGCCACGGAGATCATGTCCGTCGATTGCAGTCTTCACGCTAGTGAAAATTCTAACCCCACACTTGGAAGGCTTAACTTGGGACACCAGGGTCACTCAAGATATGGGTTGGGAAAACGAAGAGCTCGAAGATGTTGTTGTGAGCAACAAGATGGCACGGAAGGACGGCTCTTTGCAAGTCGGCAACGTCTGGCACGGCTTAACCCAAGACGATGCAGAGCTCGCATAATTGAAAGTCCTTCATCAAGCACAGTATACTTGCCGAGCGTTGATATTGTAAGATCAAGAAGTTGGAGATACGAGTGCTGTATGAGGCAAGGTGGTTGTGCAGGTGAGACCCTCGGCTTCGCGTAGCCTGTAGGATCCGAATCCTGACGTTCGCAGCTACGGTAAGCGACGTGAACTTGTCAAGGGTGACCCTGAGCCAAGAGGAGATTGCCATTGCGGCGGGCCTAGCTTGGCCAGCTTGGCTGTGCAACGGCCGTTGACGAAGATGATTGGTATGGCTCTGGCAGTCTATTCGGAAAACGATTTTTGAACCTATCGAGAAGTTCGAGGTGTTGAGAGCCGAAGGATGAGAGTATTCGCGAGAGAAAGGCCAGTGTAGCCCAACCAATTACGAGGTATCCTATGCGGAGGAGGCATTGTAACAGTGCCACCTCGTCATGTGTATGTGAGCGTACACTTGCACTTATTGCGAGGAGCGTCAAAAGCTCGCGACTTCTCAACTGAGGATTTGGGAATGGAGTTTTTTCCGCTCAGCGACACAGCCTGCGTAATCGCGGACTTGCGAGGCTTCAATGATGTCCAGGTCGCCGAATCGTTCAACAGTCAATAATCGCATCAGCCCTGATGGTCTAGCGGTATGATTCTCCCTTAGGGTCTTCACGACACGTCTGGGAGAGGTCCCAGGTTCGAATCCTGGTTAGGGCCCAAATCTTTTGTTTTTGCCGATAAGAACCATCAACTATGTGAGATAGGCTCATAACTGTTCGCTGGCGGGTTTTTGACACGGATCTGACCCTTCTGTTAACTGGGCACTGTCCGAATGGACCTGTCCACTGGCTGTGTCTTGTGTTAGTGGTGTTGCAGTTTCGGGCTGTGCTTGTAAAGAATGGAAGCAAAGCAAGGAGGATCAAACATACCAGCCCACCTAATTGGACGATTGACTGTGCAAAAGTGATTGAATGGAAGTAAGAACAAGATGGGTAAGGAATATTGGTGGCTCAATATTGCCTCCAGCTCAAGCTCCAAGTTTAAATATGAGAATACGGACCTCTGAGAGTTACTCGGCTCTGATGGCCAGAGATTCAAAGGATATGCTTCGGAGGCCTACTGGAGGCCTACCATCGACTGCCAGAAATTGAACTCTAACGAAATGTTCGAAGGTAATTCTTGCTTGCTCGCTCGAGAGAAATACGATAAATCAAGGATTTCCTCCTCGATATATTCCAAACATGTCAAGAAGAAGCAGTCGAGATAGTTGTAACTCGTTCTTGATAACCCAACCGTACGCGCAATCCGACGATTATTCTTGCAATGACAACAATCAAGATAGGACTAGGAAGAGATAAGATTTCAGCTCCCAGATTCATCGACATGTTTCGCCATGCGGAGAAAGGAGACAGAAACCTCGACCACCGCCACGTAGATCTCATGACGGCCGAACTCCGGACCAAGAAGATCACCGGCTACATCCGCCGCAGCGTCAAAGTCTTTGTGCGTCGGCGCGATGCCGTTACTGATTTCTTGAAAGAGGCATTGGACCTGGCAATCAAAGCAGGCAAAATCGTGCTCGAATTCGACAAGGAGCACCCGAACCTCGTCGCCATCGTTGCCGGCGGAGTGATGCTGGCTAGTGTCTCCCCCTGGGTGCTGCAAGCCCTAGGTTTTGGACAACTTGGACCTGTTGCTGGTAAGTTTTTCCGCAGATTACTCCTCCGTCCTCTCTACCTGAAGATCAACTCTGACGCAGTGCCCACTCAAGATTCTTTCGCGGCAGGGTGGCAGGCGCCAATAGGCGCGGCCGTTCGGACGGGCTCTCTGTTTTCTATCCTTCAGTGGCTTGGAATGACTTGGATTTGAGTCCTGGGAAGGCACTTTGGCTACGAGCTAAGGCCTCTATGATCTATGTAGTCGTATCCGAGGGCCATAGAAGGCATGAGATAACGCAAGTTGACGAAATCTGTGTTCCTTTTGCTCTGACCCTAAGCCCGCTGCAGACTTGATTCCATGCGAAACTTGACCTCTATCAAGTGTTTCCATCCCGCTCGCTGGTCCATCGTGTTGCTGTCTGTCCGCATCGTCCTCGATTATGCACTGATCAGATATACTTTTTACCGAATCACAGCATCGCGTATGTGCCAATTAGGTTCAGCCTGCTCACCTGACTCTGACTGATTGATTGGTTGAAGAATAAAGTGCGTTCGTATAAAGACAAGACGGAAGAGAGCTGCTCTTTCAAGGGGAGGTAGCTTTCTCCTGAAAAAATGCTTGGAACACGAGTTGTTGGTTCGGTCCAACGAATGTACTGGTGAGAAATGTTGAACCAACGGGCGGCATGTGGACGAATGAGCAGGGCGTACTCCATGCGGGAGGCCTACCATGAGGGGGCGTCGGGCGAGGTGAGGCTGCTTTGAGCACATATCTTGGTCTGTTCATTCGACAGTGAAATGGCAATAACAGCGGCGAGACCGTCTCTCTCGACCATTTAACAACCACTGAGGGAGGAAAGGCCGGATCTTTCTTTCTCTCCCACATAGCGATCATTTTGGCTCTGAATTCGCAAAGTTCACCTTCTCAAAACAATTACGTTCACAAAAGGCACCAAGATGGAGCACGACAAGAAGGACAGCTGCAGCCTCCTCGCCCTCTGCCTCCCGCAGTTCCAGCCGGGCCCGAAGGCAGTCACGTCCGAAAAGCAGACGGGCATCATCAAAGATCAACCCATCCGCTCTGCCCAGGATGCCGCTTCCGAGTTCATCGACATCCTTCGCACCGCCGAAAAGGGAGGCAAAGACTTCGAGCACCGTCTCAGAAACATCGTCACGGTCAACTCCTGGACCGAAGAGCTCGCCAAGTACATCCTTTCCGGCGTCGAAGGCCTGGTCCGCCACCGCGACACCATCGGCCAAGTCGTGAGGGAGACTGTGGACAAGTCGACCGAGGCCGCTGACAGCGTATTCGAGTTTGCCAAGGAGCATCCTGTCTTTGTTACCATTATCGCCATTGGCGTGTTGGTTATCGTTGCCCCCTGGGTGGTTGAGGCCCTTGGCTTCGGCGAACTTGGACCCATTGCTGGTAAGTCTTGTCGCCCATGCTCTCGATCTGTTTTCTCTGGTCAAGCTCTTACAAATAATCTAGATACCTTTGCCTCCTGGTGGCAGGCGCGATATGCCGGATGCGTTCCCAAGCGATCTCTCTTCTCTTTCCTCCAGCGGCTGGGAATGACTTGGAAATGACTACTTGTGCTGTTTGGAAAGGGATCTCGATTACAGGCTAAGCTTTAAGGCTTGAAGCCAGACACATTCAAGAATTGTAGGGAGGACAAGTTATGGCGACATGTCGTTGAGCAAGGGCATGTAGTTCGAGGCCAAGTTTTCTTCAACTTCGGTAGGCGAACGGCTAGCATCCCAAATGAATCCCATTGCCTCGCAAGTTATTTTCACTGCACTACTTGTGCTCGTTCATAGCCGACCAATTGTCGCAGCGAGTACCTCGCGGTCCTGAAGTATATGCAAAGTATTGTATCATTGTCAAATTTTCCCTGACCCTCAAAACGCCCGAAAGTTGACCCACGGGGAATCATAAGACACAGAGAGCAAAGCTTATCTAATACAAAGCCCCCCCCCCCCCTTCTTATGCCTCCTCCGCCGAAATGCCCGTAAACGCCTCCTTTTCACCACCTTCGCCAGCCTCGTTATCCGTCACGGGCTCCGTCGTCTTCCACACATCGTTCCTCAACGCCTTATCCTCCTCATCCTCGACCTCGCCAAACTTGGTGACGCTGAACTCGGGCATGGCACGCCGTTCCTTGGAGAGGATGCCGCCGCTCTTACCGGCTCTGCGTCTGCGCTCCTGCTCCGCGTCGCGCTGGATCGCCGCCTTCTCGCCCGCGGCGTCGAGCATCGTGCCCTCCAGGCTGAGGTACCCGTGGTCGCCGCTGACGCCGACGTCGAACGCCTTGATGCGGAAGCGCACGCGGCCCTTGACCTTGTCCCCGGCGCCGTCGACCCAGAAGCCAGTGGTGTGGATCTGGCGCACGGCGCCGTGCTCGTCCTCGGCGGCGGCCTCGGTGTTCTCGACGTCAAAGGGGTCGGCGACGTAGGAGGCTGCCTCGGCAGAGCCGGCGTGGACCCAGCGCCATTCGGGGGGGAGGCGGCTAGACTCGATGCTGGCATTGAACTTGCCCCAGCAGACGACGCCGACGTGGCCCTCGTTCTCGAGGTTGATGCTGCCTTCCATCCAGGCGCCGCGGCGGGGGATAAAGAGGTCGACGTCGACGGTGACGTAGCCGAAGCCGACGGCGTACTCGTCGACGGAGACGAGGTCACAGTGCTCCGAGTCGCTCTTGGCGGCGTAGCGGCGGCCGGGCTGCTCTGAAACGGCGACGTTCCGGAAGGCGAGGAGGACGCCCTTGAGGTCCGGGACGTAGCGGTTCACGAGGGGCTCGAGGTGCTGCGTCGCGGCGGCGGTGCAGGGCGTGTCCCAGCCTATGGGGTAGATGGGGAGGTATAGCGAGACGGTCTGGGTGTAGAAGGGGAACTGGGGCTTGGAGGGCGCGTCGGGGGGTTGGTGGACTCGGCCTGTTGATTTCGTCTTTGCGGGGGAGTCGACGTCCATGGCATCGGCGTCGGCGTCTACGGCGGGTTCGGGGTCCGCTGCCTTCTTGCTCTTCTTTTCGCTCGCTGGCGGCTCTGCGGTATCTTCGACTGCTTCCGCTGACTCCTTTTGTTCTGACTTGCGCTTCTTCTTTTTGTCCTTCTTCTCCTTGCGCTCGGCGTCCGACCCGTCTTGTTCGGCGGACTCGCCTACTGACTTTCTGTGCTTGTCCTTCTTGGACTTCTTCTTTGCGGATGATGGCTCGCCATTGGTATTGCTCGTCGCGACGGCGTCCATTGAGAGGTCCTGGGAAGCCTGAGGAGACTCTTCTTCTTCGTCGTTGGCGTCGTTCTGGGTCACGCCGAGGCTCTTTGTGCGCTTGTGCTTGCGCTCTTCGGCGGCGTCGTCGCCCTCCTCGCGCAGGCGCTTCTTCTCCTTCTTGTCCTTTTTACTCCTCTTGTCAGACTTGTGCCCATTGGTCGCTGGTGAATCGGTGGACGCCATATTTACGGCTTGTCGGATTGCTCGGTGGTTCGTTGTTGGGGTGTTGTCGTCGTCGTCGAATCTCGCCCGGCGGGTCGCGAGGTAGCTGCGTTCCCGACTGTCGAACCAAAAAAAAAAAGTTGAACTTCAAAAAAATTTCTAGGGAAACTTCACCGATCGGTGGTGGGGTCGCCCGTCTCCCGTGTGTGGGCCCGTCGTCCTCTCAGAAAACACCGTGCCGACAGGGATAAAGTGATGGGGCCATAGGTAGTACGTACCACGGCCCGGTCGGAGTCGGAGATATCGCTGGGCTTCGATGGCGTGCCTCATCCGAACATTTCGCTTCCAGTTGAATCCGGGAGCACCAGAGAGCAGAGACAGAGTTTCATTTTACCGGAGGTCGGAGACACAAGATGGTTGCTTGTGGTGGAGAAGCCCGCCCCAAAAGGCCGCTTACTTTCGGCTTCCTCACAGCTTGTTTCCTCGTTTGGGGAGTGTGAATGGGCGAGATGAACGGCGTGGGGCCCGACGGTTCTCGCATCCGTTCCCCTCATTGCTCCCCCAATGCCCCTCCATCTCATAAACGCACCTTGAGATGGCGTCAGACTCGAGGGGTCGAAGCACAGCTTGCATGTGTCTAGTAGTTTCAGCGGGGTGAACCATTGAGCCGTTATCGCTCTTTGTTTTGTAATACACTTGAAGCTATAAGAACCGGGCATCCGGCCACGGGGACTCTATTTCGAGAATGTAAAGAACTTTTACAACAACTATACATCTTCTACGCTAATAAACCGTAATCTTCATACCACGACATCATGCCTACCTTTAAATCATCTAAGATTCTCGTATTCGGTGCCACTGGCCAGATTGGCGTTTTCATCACAGCGGCATTGCTGGATGCCAGCCCCTCCTTTGACCAAATCACCATCTTTACATCGCCAACCACAGTGGAGAGGAAAGCAGACTTGCTCGATGGCTGGAAGAAGAAGGGACTGAAGGTCATCGCCGGCGATGTTGACGACACGGAGCAAATCAAAGCGGCCTACAAGGATGCCGATACCGTCATATCCGCGCTGGGTAGAAACGTGATTGAGAAGCAGATTGATCTCATCAAATTGGCCGAAGAGACCGACTCTGTCAAGTGGTTCTTCCCCTCCGAGTACGGAACGGATATCGAATACGGACCCAAGAGCCCCAATGAGAAGCCTCACCAGGCCAAGCTCAAGGTGCGCAAGTATATCCGCGAGAACGTCAAAAGACTCAAGTACACGTACCTGGTAACGGGACCTTATGTCGACATGTTCTTGACGTTGCCGTCGATTGCGCAAGAGGCTGGTGGGTTTGATACAGCTGCCCGTAAGGCAGTCCTGATTGAGGACGGCGAACGAAAGACTGGTCTTATCACCATGAAAGAGTACGTTTCCATTTCCACACACTTACCATGTCACCCAGTACTGACTTGAATGTCCAAAGCGTTGGCACAACATTGGTGGCATCGCTTCGTCACCCAGAGGAATCCTTCAACCAAGCTCTCAAAGTTCAGTCGTTCGTGGCGACTGGCAAGGAAATCGTGGCCGAGTATGAGAAGCAGACTGGAGAGAAATGGGAAATCGTTTACTCGTCGCTGGAGACCTTGAAGAAAGCTGAAGAGAAGGCATGGGCCGAGGGCATCCCTTACGCCACCATCTTCACCTTACGACGCATCTGGGCTGAGGGTGGCACTTTGTACGAGAAGACGGACAACGAAAAGATTGGGCTTGGGCCCAACGATGTCGAGAGCCTAGAGATAGCCGTCAAGAGATCGTTGGGTAAAATTCAGTAAATTCTGGGTATAGGACGGATTGCAGTTCAATATTGAATGGTTTATTCAACAGTTTCCAAATCAAAACTGTGAAGATTGCAGAAATATCGAGTGCCGGTAGACTTACGTGCACAATATCATCTATCATGCTAGACAAGCAGGATGTTAGTATTGAAGAATGTAGTAGCATCACTACTTCATTGGCAAAGAGGCTGATTGAACACCACCTCATGATATCAACGTTGGCATCAAATGCTCTAAATGGACTCATCAACCTCGAGGCACAACTTTATGCGATGAATGGCCAGGTACCTGAGAGTGCAGCAAATGACAGCGCTAGGAAAGGTACCTTAGTCACCGGGTCCCGGCCCGCTCGCGGACCCTGGAACAGCCCGGCGTGCCAGGGACTGTGGCTGCTAGCGGCGCTGAAATGCGTAACAGCGACGTGTGGCAGCTGTGGCATGTGGGCAGCTTCCCCATGACCGCCGGCGACTTCCCCAGCTTTCCCAACTTCGCTTTGTCGTCCCGGCTGCCCCCCCTCTCGAGCAAGGCAGGTTCCTTGTTCTCAACCGATTTACTTGCCCAAAACACAAACCACCGTCTTCACACAATCCCGAGCGCACTCTAGACGACACTCATTCTCTCGCAGCACCCAGCGTCGTTCGCCAACATGGCTCCTTCGGGTCTTCGACAGTGCATGCACGATGTCAGCCTGTACTTGCTTGTCTTAATTTCTGTCTCGACTTTGGGCCCCCTGCAGTTCGGCTTCCACCTTGTATGTCATTGCATCACTCCGTTCCAACGTTCATTTGGCTTAACCAATTCCCACGGAACATGACTTACTGACCAGCTGTGCCTCTCTTCCAGGCCGAACTCAACGCCCCTCAAGATGTCCTTACCTGTCGAAAGAAGTCAATTGCGGCCAAGGGAGTGAAGCTCACATGGGTGCACTCCAAGGCCCCCGACCCCGAGCCCTGGCTCCCCGAGTGTATTCCCATGTCCGACGCCGTCTTCGCGACCGTCTCCTCCATCTTTACTGTCGGTGGCCTGCTAGGCGCTCTTTGTGCCGGCCCCTTGTCTTCAAAGCGCGGCCGACGTCCTGCCATGCGAGTCACGTCCATTTTATATATCATCGGTGCCATTATCGAGACCCTCGCTGGCGGTGCTGCCGCTCTGGCAATCGGCCGATTCTTCACGGGTATGGCGGCTGGTGCGTCTACCGTTATTGTTCCGCTGTACATCAGTGAAATCGCGCCGCCAAAGGAGCGTGGTCTGTTTGGTGCCATGACTCAGGTCTCCATCAACGTGGGCATTCTTGCCGTCCAGACTCTGGGCTTCTTCCTGAGCTACGGGAAGGCTTGGCGCTGGATCCTGGCTGCCGGCGTCTTCATTGCGTTGGCTCAGGCTTCTGGACTCATGCTGATTCCTGAGAGCCCGGCATGGCTGGCTGCCAACGGCGACGTCCCCAAGGCTCGCCGTACTCTACAGCGAATTCGTGGCAAGGACTTCGACATCAGAGAGGAAGTCGAAAGCTGGGATGGGGAGGTTAATGCTGAGCAAGAGGGTCTTTTGGCCCAGAGCGACGACGTGCCCCCGGTGTCTCCTGGCCTCCCCAAGCACACCTCGCCTGTCCATCTTGGATTCTTCGACGTGATCAAAGATCCGCTTCACCGACCTGCTATCGCCGCTATTATCGGCATCATGTTTGCCCAGCAGCTGTGTGGCATCAACTCTGTCATCATGTACTCGGTATCTCTCTTGAACGACTTGCTTCCCGTCAGCTCAGCCCTACTGACGATTCTGATTTCTGTCATCAATCTGATTACCACTGCGGCATGCTCTCCGCTGCCGGACAAGCTCGGAAGAAAGACCTGCATCCTGATCTCCATCATCGGACAGGGAATCAGCTCTCTGATTCTTGCTCTTTCCATTCAGTTCGGGGTCAAGATCTTGTCGGCTGTGTCAGTCGTGTCGTTTGTAGCATTTTTCGCCGTTGGCCTTGGACCGGTTCCTTTCATCCTCGCGTCCGAAATGGTTGGACAAGAGGCTGTTGGCGCCGTCCAGTCTTGGTCCCTGGGATCCAACTACCTCGCGACCTTCCTGGTTGCTCAGTTCTTCCCGATCGTCAATAATGCCTTCAACAATTGGCTTGGAGGAGCTGGCTGGGTGTACTTCCTCTTCGCCGGCTTCGCTGCACTTTTTGCCCTATTTGTTTCGGTCAAGGTGCCCGAAACCAAGGGTAAGAAGGACGCAGACGAGGTTTGGGGACGCACTAGACGGCTCGACTAAGACATTGTCTTGATTATTGTAGTTTTACATTGGTTTGAATAGAGCGGTAAAAGGTATGGCGTTGGAAATGGGTGCCAATAGCATGGGTATTCTTAATAGATCAATCAGTTTTGGAACAAGCGTCTGCTTCTGACTGTTTGCTCGAGCTGCAGGATGCCAGCTTTGACACCATCAACGATGAAAACCTGGCTGCCCTTCTCCGGACCATAGACGTCGTTGGCTGAGCTGCGAATAATCTCCTCGAGCCCGGCCATACCGGCACAACCCATGACCACACACCGCACATCTCCGCTACTCAACAGCTTCTTGGTAGCTTGCTCCAGTTTCACCCTGACTTCAGCCGGGCTGACGTGGTGGAAGTCTCCAGCTGTCAAGCCGGTCGACGCGACGCCCCCGAACTTAACATTCTCTGACTGATCTGATTGCCCGAGGTAGCCCTTCACGCCTTGGCTTAGGTGCTTTTCCCAGAACTCGCCCGTCGTGACAACACCCCATTTAGATGCGAGTGAAGGATCAGAGCTGTGAGGCAAGAGTGAAGTCGCCGTCAGAATGCTGGCCTCGAAGATCCCGGTGACGGCTAGAGTCGAGTGGAACTGCTGAGAAAGCTGCTCGACCAAGGTGTGGACACTATAGCATGCGACGAGTACGCCGTCGTAATCTTGGAGCTTGCCACTCTTTGCGAGATCGCCCATGACGACCTCGGTACTCAGTTTGATGTCGGCATCATCGTTGATACTTGCTGGGCTCCCAGATGGCGCTGTGTAGGTATGAATTTCGAGAGACTAACACAGAAAGCGGGATGTCAGCGCCTGATCATTTGTGGTTGAGACTCGGCCGTTGTGAACAGCCAGCCTGTTTGTTCATTTCGGCTTACATCGTGCAAGGACATTGCTTGTATGGCTTTTTCCATGCCCCTCGTCATGTCCTCTGACGAGTTGGCGTTAATCACGAGGATCTTGATATTCCGACGAAGGAGACGAGTTGCCATGGTTGCGCTGTTACTGTACGGGAAATGTGACTGGAAAGGCTGTTCCTTACGAGATGGTCAACACTTTGTGAGAATGAACATCAAACAACCCGTGCTACTCACCCCTCAAGCGCGTAAATTATCATGGTCCCGCCGACCAGCGGCCTTCATCGAGTGGAGATTCTCCCGTTAAGGTGGGGCTGCCGGTCCGGTGACGCTGGGTTCCAGTGCACCGCATGAGCCGACTGCGGCTCCTCCAGGTCCTTCAGCACCACTTTCAGTGACAGTGCACTGGAGACGGGTACCTATCAGTCTTGGACCGTGACGATTGCTGGCTGCGGGGTATCACGTGATAGCCACTAATCACTCAGCCACGACCTGGCTGACGATCCAGTGGCAGGACAGCTGGGAGGCAGTGGACTTGGCCCAACCCCACTATCGACGACACAGACGTAACAGCTTCCCGGACGCTCTCCCAACCACACCTCACCTCACCTCACCTCTCCCCCAAATCGAAAGAAGCTCCAATCTCGAAAGCCTGCAGCTTCTGCTTTCACAATGGCAGCCGAGGCCCCCATCGGTAAGATACAATGCCCCTGATACCGCAGCTACGGCTGCATAGCTACGCCTGTGACCGCTTTCTTCCCAGTGGTTTATGCTCTCTGTTCGGGAGGTGGCTGACGCAAGATCCACAGTCCTCGACGGAGGAACAGGTTTCCTCAAGGTCGGCTACGCAGCGCAGAACTTCCCCGAATTTCAATACCCATCCATCGTCGGCCGACCGATCCTGAGAACCGAAGAAAAGGGCGAGGACAATGACTTGGTTATCAAGGATATCATGTGCGGTGACGAAGCCGCCGCCGCCCGGACGATGCTTCAGATCAGCTACCCCATGGAGAATGGTATCGTCAAGAAGTGGGATGACATGCAGCATCTCTGGGACTACACCTTTTTCGAAAAGATGAAGGTCGACCCGCGCGGCCGCAAGATCTTGTTGACCGAGCCCCCGATGAACCCGCTGCGGAACCGTGAGCAGATGTGCGAGGTCATGTTTGACCGCTACGGATTTGGCGGCGTCTATGTTGCCATCCAGGCCGTATTGGCCCTGTACGCCCAAGGTATGTTGACTGCACTAGCTACGACCGACTTGGATTGGAGAGAGAGAGAGAGAGAGAGAGAGAGCGAGAATATGCAGCGAGGCTGACTTTGGCTGCTCCCTACAGGTCTCAGCTCCGGTGTCGTCGTCGACTCGGGAGACGGCGTGACCCACATCGTACCCGTTTACGAGTCGGTCGTCCTCAACCACCTAACCCGCAGACTGGATGTCGCGGGCCGAGACGTCACGCGCAACCTCATTGCGCTCCTCCTGCGCCGCGGCTACGCGCTCAACCGAACGGCCGATTTCGAGACTGTCCGTCAGATCAAGGAGAAGCTCTGCTACGTCTCGTACGACTTGGAGCTGGACAAGCGCCTGAGCGAGGACACAACGGTGCTGGTGGAAAGCTACACGCTGCCCGACGGCCGTGTTATTAGAGTGGGCAGCGAGCGATTCGAGGCGCCAGAGTGTATGTTCCAGCCTCACCTGGTGGACTGCGAACAGCCCGGTATTGCCGAGTTCCTGTTCAACACGATCCAGGCGGCCGACGTGGACGTTAGATCATCGCTGTACAAGGCCATTGTGCTGTCGGGTGGCAGCAGCATGTACCCTGGTCTCCCGTCACGTCTGGAGAAGGAGTTGAAGCAGCTGTGGCTGACGCGAGTGCTT